ACACACACACACACACACACACACACACACACACACACACGAAATAGTGCGTGCAACTATCATAAAAAAATCATATCCATTGATTTTATTGTGCGATTGTTCCCAATTAAAGCGGACATCATGCTTGACGCGTAAACTACGCAGCCGTCGTGTTTTTTTATGTTCATAACGCGACATAATTTAAAGTTAAACTTGAACTTCCTGTTCTACTTTCCAATGTACAAAGTAGTTAAAGTGGAAGCATAAGGACTCAACATATACCAACCGGGACAGCATTGCTTCAAATCAAAATGTCTGACTTCCAGTTCAAATTTCAGACATTGGTTCTTGTGACTTTTTAGTGCATCTTGTCCTGATTGACACGTCCACCAAAATTTCTGTCCGTGTGAGAAACCGATCATTTCTTTCCAACTTTCGAGAATGAGTTTTGGAGGGGTCATATTCTGGACGCCGACAATACATGTCCCTGTGTTGAACTTTGGATTCATTTAGCCAGCTAATTCTCGGACTATTTATAAAACGTCTTGTTTTGACAGCTGACTCAAAAAGCAGAGGGTCTTGATGAAAGCACGAAATTACCCACTCTCTCTCTCTAAATACGTATATAATATACAAACCTGTGACTTGACGGGATGAGTTGAGCCGCGCTATAGACGAGTATCAGATTCGCAGCCCATTGATCGGCACGTTAATACTCCAACCATCTATTTTAGCTCTTATGTAACGGGTCACGTTTCCCCATCTTCACTCGCTCGCTCCATGCTGAGTCCACCCCGCCTTCTTGTTTTACACACAGCAGGTGCTGCCACCCGATTGGTCTTTTTCGGGAAAAAGGTGACACGTTTGGCCGCCTTCACAGCAATTAGGGACACTTTCCGACTTCAGATGTGGAAAACGCCACGCCACGTGTCAGTTGGAATGAAGCACGCTGAACAAACAGCATTGAGGGACAACAAGGTCCTCCGGTGTTTACTTCTCAGGTGTTGGCTGTTGTAAAAAAAACAAAATCAAAACAAAACTTTTTTTGTTTGTTTGTTTTTTGTTTTATTTGTTGTCATTGTGTTAAATTTTCCATATCAATAACACTATCAGTCCTGTATCGTTGCGTACTCAAGAGTGAACACTCGCATTGGTATCGGTCTGAAATAAAACTGGTATCGAATCTCGCGAATATATATTTGCATGTTATTGGTATGCAAAAAAAAAATAAAAAATACAATAGGTTATCCCTTAGTTTTGTTTTTTCTTCCAACGAATCCAGTTACTCAACCAACGACCTATATAGGAGATAATATCTCGTATTAAAATGTCAGACACTACTCTGTCACAAACATCCATGTCAAGTTCACGCGAGAACGTCGGCGTGTCGAAAATGAAAAGACGACGGACACAGCGGGAGCTGAGTATCACGATGTTTCACCGCAACACATTTGTCTTTCTGTTTGCAAGAAATTCTTACGAAAATCCGAGACAGCTCAGGGAAATTGAATAGACGAGCCCAGACCCTGGGAACAGACGAGGAATCTCCCGCACGTGAGCAAAGTCAACAAAAGCGCACTTTGCCCTCGCTGAAAATATCCCCCTGGCGGGTTCCTCGATCAGCCGATACGTTTCTTCAGGTTTCATAAGGGAAAGGAAACACGCAGGAGTCATTTCAGTGTGTGTGCATGAGTCTATCCCGAGCTATAAATACTGATTTGCTGCAGCGCCTGGAAGGGGACACCGAGCACGCTACGTTCTCAAATTGTCTTTAGGATGCTCACTCGCTGCTTGTTCAGCTTTTTCCAAACTGGGGGTTGCGGGCCGAAAATAAGGCCACCTGGATTCGTTTGCTGATCGTCAGAGCATTTTATTTTACATTGCTATGAATGAATTCTACCTTGCACAATTTATATCATTAATAGCTTATGCTATTGTTTAGATTGTCAAATATTTTAAAGGTCCGTTCCACATGGCTTGCAATTCATTTGTTGGATTAAAATTTTTTTAACCCTTTCAGGGACATCGATTGCGACAGTGGACATCTTATCGGGTTACAGGGTGCATCAAAGGGTTAAACAATTTTTTTGGTCATACTCATTTTAATTAAGAACGTATTTTCAGCCATTTTGAGCCACATTGCATTGCATGCATTCAATCAATTTTAGTAACTGATAACTTTTAATAAATATGAGGAATTTAATGACACAATTGACATTGCAAAGCGGATGTGGAAAGTGATCATTCTCAAAACTTTAGCCACATCGTGCATTTGATTTGACTATTTTCCTTTAAAATCTTTCTTTTATCATTTATATAAGACAGTCTTCAAAAATATATATTTTTAAATCCTTGATCTGCATCGCTTGGCATTTATTTTTATTTATGCAGTAATTACAGTGGTCAACACAATTGTATTAATGTATACACTTTTTTTTAAAAAAAAGAGATGCAAATAAACTTTGAGATGCATTTTTTTTTTTTGCACTGATTCCAAATCTTCCCTTATTTTTTTCACAGCATACCAGTGGAGTTCATCTTTGATCCGCTCTCGCGGCCTTAACAGGTTGACACGATCACATGACTGTTGTGATTGTGTTGTCGCTCTTCGCCTGGAGTGCTATAAATACAATGGATGTCACTTGGAGACAGTGTAAAGACAGAAACCGAGTCTGGTGACTGAGTCCCAGCAGGTACCCACACGTGGCGGCCCGGGCTTAATGTAGGGCACCTTCCCAACTGGGCATTTATTCTCCACTAAATATAGACAAAGCCACAGACATAAGCTGAGCTCAGATCAGTGGCAAAAAGCCACGGAAGCTACAACCAGCAGAAGACTGAGGGCCTGATTTACCGAGATTCCAAATTGCTTACTCACTCACAAATGTGTCTGATGTCGGCAACAGGTGGTAAAGTGGTGGAAACCGCTGTATTTAATTTTTAAAGCACAGTACAAAGTTTGAAGTGATGGAATCGGAAGTGTGAGTAGAAGACTAACTTAAGAATTTCCATGCATCTATTTTCTGATCCGTTTATACTCACAAGGGTCACGGGGCGTGCTGGAGCCAATCTCAGCTATTTTAGGGCAGGAGGCGAGGGACACCCTGAACCGGTTGCCCGCTAATCGCACAGCACACTTGATTTTTGTCCCAGTGAAGTCAAAACTATTTTCAACAAGTGCAAAATACCGATTCTCGTTGTCGACTCTCATTTTGCCTACGCTTTATTGTCATAGTTATGCACGTGTACAAAAACAGAACTTCAGGATGCCACCTCCAAAGGCAGAAAGTTGCCAGTTTGACTGCCTCTCCATTCGGTGTCATTGTCATTTTACAGAACAGCATTTATTACAGCTGATGTTACCTTCGAAGGTGAAAATTTGTCAGGGTTGAGATCATTCTCTTATTTTATTTTGTTTGTACCAACAAGAGAAAAAGACCAGTTTTTCCAGGCAGTCTAAAAGGAGTTTCTACTACAACCACATAAAAACTGCCCTTTCAACTTTGCCCTTTTGCCACGGCACTTCACGAAAACTCTGACTTGACAAAACAACCCCACACAAAGCCAACGCACATACGTAGCTTATCTCGAGATAATGCGTGTTTATGTTTTGATGAGTCACTAAGTTCACAGCTGACCCGCTATGAATCACAGCCACGTGACGTCTTGCAGGGTTTATTTATATCACGGGTGTGGTTAACGAACCGCCACGTGACGTAAAAGATACAGCAAAGGGTCATTTTCAAAACAGTTAAGAGTGACTTTTAACGGAGGAAGTCAGCAGCCATGAATCACTGTGGCGGTCTTGGCTTGCGGGAAAGTTGAACTGCAACAGGCAAGATGGAGATCACGTTTTTATCTGGGTCGCTTCTCGGAACCAAGTGGACACACAAGACAAGTAAACCATGTGATGCGTACAGGTTAAAGGGTTTCTCCGGACACAAGAATTGAGTTGAAAATGTTTTCTGAGGTGGCGTTCTCTGCTAAAATGTCTCATCAGTGGAAGTGTAAATGTCACAGCAGATGATTAGGAAATTACGCTCAGACACTTCCAAGCATGACCCCTCCCCCCCGCCTCACTTAACCCCTCCCCCACACACATTTAAATTAGCATTTTAATACCTTTGTATCATAGTCTCATATTTTGCTACTTAAAATTTTTAAACCTTATTATCAATGTAAAAAATGTTCAATTGAAATGACCTTTTCTGATTTTACAAATCATCAAATCTCAACACATTGAAGTACTCTCGGGATTAATACCAAATATTTTCATGTTTAAGATTTTTTGATACGTTTGATAACATTTCAACATTAATAGATGTCTTGATCAAAACTTGACACAAAATGGTCATTTTTGCCTTTCAGATTTGCTGACATCGCGGTATATCTGAACATTTCTGACTGTTTGAAAACATTCAGGACAAATGTTTAAAACACTTTTTTTTTAACATCTGAGCAAATGTATACATTTGAGCACATCCAGTATTAATTGGAAAAAAAAGGATATTTTTTTTTGTTTTATTTCCTGATGCATTTGATAGGTAGTTTAAGAACTGCCAGTAAGAATTTTTTTTAAAATCATTTTGAAATTTTTCTGATGTATTTGAAAACATTTTTTATATCTGGAAACCCTTTCAGCAGAAGGGCTCATTTTTATGAGCATTTAATCTATTTTTGAGAAGATTTCAAACTCCGAATAGCTTTCATTTTATACAAATATTAAATTGTCACTTTTTTCTTTTACATATGAGATTTCAAATTTTTAGAGCGCTTTCGATGCATTGGTTAAAAAAAAGAAGCACTTTAACAATTTAAAATGAAAGTAATACAAAAAAAGTGTCACATTTGTTTAAATTCGAGCAATTTCGCATAGAGCGTTTAACACCCCCCCACACACACACACACGCAAAAAAAAACCCGTTGTGTGGCTGTGTGGGGACATCTTTGTAAAATAGCTTCTGATCGAGGTTCAAAAACTGTCAACAGGAACTTGCACAGAAAAGGAGAAGAGGCACGCACAAGTGCAACATGGGTTTATTTTCAAACTGATTCATTAAGATGCGAACAGGATTAATGCTGTGTCCAATCTTAAACTCCGCCCTCAGTAAAGTGCTGATTCAGACCAAGTTGCCCCCATGAGTCATCATATTCCCTCCCCCCCCCCATTTCACACTGTCCGGTTGAAGAAAAACAGGGTGGGGAAAAAATTATCCACTGTGACATGATGAAAAAGCCCTTTTTTTCTTCGTCCAGCCATTCAAAAGCCACACATCCAATTAAAAAAAAACAAACAAAAGCGAGAATGTGCAGACATGATCATTCGCAAAGCTTCACTGTTGCGAAACGAAAAACCAGCGGCGGCGGCCATCTTGGAACGCTGTCTTCGAAAGACGGCCATTTTGGGATTGGACAAAATGTGAGTCCCGACTGTGGCGATGAGGTAAACAAATGAGATATATTGCACAGACGAGTAAATGAAAAACAGTCACTTTCCAACAGCCTAGCCTGTGCATAGAAGGAATTGAATAAAGCACTTTTGGTGTTAGCGGACCCCCACGCCCCCCCACGACCCCCAGCCAGCCTTGCCTTGTAAATGTAAAGCTTCTTTTTTTAATGGCTTCTTCTGTAGAATGCACACCAACTTTGTAAAAAAAAAAAAAAAAAAAAGAAAACGAACATGATTGAGAACGTTGACAACCATGATGGGACGAGGAAAAAAAATTAAAGACCTGAAAAGTCCCCGCAAAATAAAAAATTGAAACAAAACAAACAACAACAAAAAAAAAAAAAAACACCATCAAAAACAAAAACATGGAGAAAAATCTCTCAAGTGTTGTTCTGTAGTAATAAATAGTGTGCCAATTTTTTTTTTCCTGGAGCCCCCCAAAAACAACAAAACAAAAAAAGTATAAATCCATGTCATGAATCCAATCCTGTTTGTTGCATTGATTTGGAGTTCAAGCCGCCATTTGGTTTTCCACGCAACCATTTCCAGTCATTATCTGTGGAGCAACACGAAGGCCTCCAGTTTTTCCGGGATGTTCCCCTGGTAGCGGAGGCCATGCTTGATGATGACACGAGCGGCCAGGCACTGCAGCGTGGTGTGGTTGATGGGCTGAACGACGTTGCGCGCGAGCTCCTTTTCGTCCAGGAGCTCGCAGGCCGTCTGTTGGAAGGCGTTGGTGCTGTCGAAGTGAGCGCCGCCCGACACCAGCATGTTCATGATGTCGGCGTGGCCGTTGGACGCGGCTATGTGGAGTGGGCTGGCGGGCCGAAGTGGTCGGGGGTTTAAAAAAAAAAAACAAAAACAAAAAAAACAGCGGTATAACACACTGTGGGTCCAAACCCTTTTTCCTACCCACCAGCGAGCAATTTTCAAGCACATTTTAAGTCAAGGAATTTTTTTAAAAAAATTTTATCGATAACTGGGGATTCCCGAACGATACCCATGCTCCCTCTGGTGGTATCCAACAGAATTACTGAATTAAACACTCAACTCAGCGCAATGTTCGAGCAGCTAAAACTTTTAAACTTGTGAAATACAACTCACATATATTTAACTTTTAAAATACTTTTGCATTTCATCTTTTAGAAATTAAAAAAAAAACATTTAGGGAACATTTTTTTAACTTGTTTTCTAGCTACAAATTCAGCAACTTGATATTCCAAACTTAACATGAAATTCAAGTACCGAATTATTGTTATAAAAATTAACTGAGGAATGAGAAGGTGAGCTGAGACAAACCTGTTGTGGTCGTCATCTCGACTGTCGACGTCGGCGCCACACTCGAGCAGGATGGCGGTGACGGTGAGCGAGGGGAATTTGCAGACCGGGTAGCGGCCCACGCAGGTGGTGTTGCGGTCGGCAGCCAGGTGGAGCGGACTGAAGCCGTTCTTGCCCCGTGGCTGAAGTTTCAGAAACCTGCACACGTGCAAAAGAATTTTTTTTTTTTTAAATAATAAGTAAATAAACAATCTTGGGTTGTGGTGTACCATAATGTATCACTGAAATGATGTATTAAAGACAAATCAGAACAATTTTTGAATGCATATTAAAAGAGATGCTGTAATGTAATAATTAATCAAAATACAAATTTCGACTGATTCTACTATTTTCGGACTTCTAGTAGGCTCCAGAAAATAGGATGTCAATTTTAGTAGTATGCAATTTTTCTACTAAAATTCTGCGTGTAACTCAAATTGTTTTTAAACAGGGACATTTCATTTGTAATACATTTCTTACTTAGTTAATACATTCTTTCAATTTCTAATTCTTAAAACATTTTAAGCACTTCATGTATGAATTGAATTTTTTTTTAATCACTTAAATTGTTGGAGGGATTTTTTTTCCAATAATTGAAGCATTTCTTGATAGAATGTGAACTTTAATTTTTTTTACATTTTTTTTTAAGCAAATTTCAAATATACTTTCTGTCTGACCTGATTTTTTTTTTTTAAACAGGTATAACATGCGTTTTAAATTGTAATGTATTTCTCCATCAATTAATACATTTAAATCGATTTGACCAATTTCCACATCCAAAAATTAAAACAGTATCTTGTGCAAAATCTCATTCGTCTTGGTACAGTCTGTGCAGACCTGGACCGTACCTGTAGATTGTCTCCTTTTTGAAGTGGTCCTGCTCCGTAGTGCACGGCACCTTCTCCAATAGACAGATGAGGTGCAGGATGATGGACAGTGCCTTGCTGAGCTGGGCGGGGTCCGGCGGCAGCGAACGCCTCTGGCTGATGGCGCGGTCGATCTCCAGCACGCTTTTGGACAGGATGCCCATCAGGTCCTCAAAGGACACGGACGTGCCCAGTAGGCCCTTGGCACGGTCCTGCAGCATGAAGGAGAAGAGCTCGGCGAACGACAGCAGGCTGGACGCCGTCATGGGGCTCAGGGGGTCCAGGTTGCTCTGCTGCATATCCAGGGCGTACTTCCACAGGTTGATGCAGCGCTCAAAGTTGCCCGAGTCGGCGTAGACGGCGCCACGGTATCGGATGTAGTAAGACGTGTCCGGATGCTGTGGGCCCAAGATTCGCTCGCGGATGAGCAGGGCCTGCATGCGCATCTCATCGGGATCCGAGATGAGTCCATCCAGTTCCTCTCCATTTGTCACCTGGGGGAATGGACGGCAGGGTTACTCCCCAATTTCCAAAGCACCCAGGGACCATTAAAGACCCTCCTGAAACTGCTTGCATAGTTCGGGTCCCGAGTATGGAGGCTCGAGGACCCGAGTGAAATCACTTGGTTTCTTACGACTAAACAGGGGCGTTCCGTCAGGGCCTCCAAAGCCTTTTCTTACAGGCCCAAACACTGTCAAAAGCACAGATCTACTTTTACAACTTAAATCACCTTTTGGATTCCCCGAATCATCGATAGAATAATTGATCGGATAATCTACTGCAGCAAGATTCATTTGTGACAGCCCTAGCTCAATTGACACTAAATCCACATCATGACAGGATACACGAAAAATTTAAAATAACCACTTCTATGACTAGTAGAGGTTAGGGGGTGGTTTTGGTTTGAGGTTGGTCGATGAACTCCAAATTTCCAACTCATCCAAGGGAATTCCCTGACTAAATGAAAACAAATATACTAGACAGAGGAGTGACGCTTAAATGCAAAAGATGTGCGCTGTCATCATTGGGTGTGGACAGAGCCCGGGGGTGAAGTTTGATGATTCCCCATTAAACAGGAAATTCGGGTTTCATTTCGCATCATGATTTTTTTTTTTTTTTAAAGTCATGAGGACCCATGCCTGAAAAGACACTTGGAGTCTGCAGTTTATTCAAATTTGGGACAAGTGGAACAAGTCATTTGGCTTTGCTCCGATTGCTCCAAAATTAAAAACCTCAAAAATATGACGGATGGTACAAACCCAATTCCAATGAAGTCGGGAGGGTGTGTTAAACATAAATAAAAACACAATACAATTATTTGTAAATCGTGGTCAACCTCCATTTAATTGAACATACTACAAAGGCGAGATATGCAGAGGTGCAGGGTTCAATTTGGGCTACGGCCTTCCTGTGTGTGTGGAGTTTGCATGTTCTCCCTGTGCCTTGGTGGGTTTTCTCCAGGTACTCGGGCTTCCTCCCACATTCCAAAAACATGCATGGCAGGCTGATTGACCACTCAAAATTGTCCCTAGGTGTGAGTATGAGCACGGCTGGTTGTTCGTCTCTGTGCGCCCTGCGATTGGCTGGCAACCAGTTCAGGGTGTCCCCCGCCTACTGCCCAAAGACAGCTGGGATAGGCTCCAGCACCCCCCGCGACCCTTGTGAGGATAAAGCGGTTCCGAAAATGGATGGATTGATTCCGTTTTTAATTATGTTTAACACATCATCCATTGGAATTGGGTTTGTAGACACATTTGAGTTTGTGTTGTGTATGTGTGGGGGGAGGATTGAAGAAAAATGTGGTGACTTGCCATAAAATACAGAACAAATCTTTCAGCTGCATGAAATCACGTTCGCCACTGTTGCGAAAGTTTGACCGACTTACCTCCCGGGCATAGTCGTATGCCATGATCAGCTGCTTGGGTTCGGGTTTATGGACCACGCTGTTGCTGTCTATGTATCTTAAGTCCATGGCTTTTTTCCAGTATTTCAAGGCTCCCAGCAGGTCCCGCTTTTTATCCACAAACGTGGCCCCCAGGAGCTCAAGGGCGTCGATGCGCTCCTTGTGGCTCGTCTAAGCGAGAGCGAGGAGTCAATTTTTTTCTTTTCTTTTCCGAGAGAGCATCAAAGGCAAGACACTGCATCGGCCCGGTTGGAAAGCCTCACCTGGTGGTGCGCGGTCAGGTAGTCGACAATGTTGGTGTGACCCGTGACGCTGGCGGAAAGTAGGGGCGTCATACCGTAGCCGTCTTGCTCCATGGATGCCCTGAACTGCAGCAACATCCGCATGATCTCCAGACTGCCTGACTCGGCGCAGTCGTGAAGTGCCGTGTTGCCTGAAAAGACGACCACAAAACAAAAAAAGATGAAATTTCAAGGGAAGTGAATTGAAAACTTCGATAATAAAAGGAAGACTTAAATTGAGTGTCGTTTTCTCTGGCTTTACCGGCGGGCATGATAATCCGTGAATTTATAGGTTGCAATTCTGTCTGGTGTTTGCAATTGGATGGCATAGTCGATTCGATCTAAACTTGTCTGAAGTCAGCTCGGGGAAGCTGAGCTACATCCATGCAGACCACCGCTATGATTCAACGGTTCCGGGCTGTATGTTTCACTGGCAGTGAAACAGGAGTTCAGAACATTCCGATTCTCCTGCCAGCTCGCATTTGAAGCGCTGCGAGTCCTTATGATTGCACCGTTGGTGTCTCGATGCACTGTCAATTTAATAGAATGTCCTGTTTTTGTATCATGAAGGGATGGAAATTTGGATAGAATGCTTTTTTTAATCAAATTGGATCAATCAATTCATCAAAAAAATTGAAAGACTAATCAATAAAAATAATGGTTGGTGAGCAGCTCTAAAATTGAAAAAAAAAAGTTGACACTTATCCATGTGATCGATATTGGAATCAGTATCAGTTGATCTCACTCACCGAATTAGCAAGAAATAACCCTGATCAAAGCACCTCTCATTTCAAATGCAATTTTATTTTATTTTTTTACGACACCTGATGCATATTACAAAAAAAGTTGCTCATGGTTTGTGTTCTGTAATATAGTCGCAAAGTGCCTTTTGTGATGTGGTGTTTGCTTTGCAATAATATGAGGTTCGCCCTACGCGCAAAGAACTACCGGCACCCATTTTGCGCAGCTTGACAAGAAAACGTGATCACCACCTTTTTTCATTTCATTGTTTTTTTTAATTATAGCGAAGTATTTTAATTTTCTGAGATGGTTTGAGGATACCGCATTCGACCTTCCATAGAAATTTTGGTTACATCGCCACTGTCGCCATGGAGCTTTGTTGGAAACAAAGAAGCCACGCCTTTGTATTTCGGCATCGATGTTCTCAGTCTTGGTTCACAAGGAAGATGATTCTCATTTACAAGACTTGTCACAGCGGGAAATTCTCACTCCAACAGGCAACGGCAGAGTTAGCACGTTTAACCGAAGAGCGAGCAAGATTTGCTTTTGAAAGTGCTCTATAAATACAGTTGAGTTGCATGGCAGCCAGGTCGCATCAACACGTAAAACCTGGTGAGCCAGGGATTTAAGACTGTGTGGTATTCGGAGCAAGTGGCAACAAGCACGACAGCGTGTTGCGGAGGAGAGACAGAAAGATAGACATTCTATTTATTTTTTATTTTTTTTTATGCATTTCATTTGGACTGGAGTGGAACTAATTAGCTCCACTAAATGTTAGAAAAACACCACTGAGGAGTACAAACAGATGAAGTGACAGCAATTGTTTTCCCATTTATACCTTTTTTACTTTATGATGATTGTTCTGTTTTATATGTTGTGTCCCTCACATAGTACTGTACACCGTGTTGTATTCATCCTGTTTCATATTTATTTTGCCTCGTTTTACTCTGCTATCTGCAGTCAGGTCGCCATAAAAATTTAAAAATATATCAAAGTGCATTTATTTATTTTTTGGGTTCAAATGTTGAATGTATTTATTATTTACCGGTAGTCATTTATCTGGGACTTTTGTTCCCATATGAAGGTATAACAGCATAGATGGTCAATTCATTTTTCAAAGGCTCCACGTGAGAAATTGGAACAGTTGCTTCCAGCAGAAATACCATTAAATTTCCAACTTGGATCTGACCCATATCCCAAGGACCATTTGCAGTATTGTTGGACGTCTCAGCATAAAAAAAAAAAAAAAACAATTTTGGGACAGCCAACATTCCCCATTTGAGAAGGCAGGAGCAGTAACTCCCGACAGTGTGGAGAAAAGGGAACACGATGCCCAAATACCACCTCGCCCCCTCCAAATCCACTTCACAGGATAACACCTGTAACCATGGCAACAATCAAACGTGGCTTACAATCAAATCTCACCTATACATGCACACACGATACGAATTTGGTCTATGTTTTTATGATGACCTTGACCTTGATTAGACAATACGATTGATTTTAGGTAGAACTGACGTGTCATTAAAGTGTAGTCTTTCAACTTTAAGTAGTTTCACAAAAAAATTGATGACCCCCCCCCCCCCCCCCCCCCCC